GAAGGGAGAGAAGGCAGCCAGCGCCACATCTCAGCATCTCCCTGGCGTGCCCATGGACCAAAGTGATCCTGATGCTAAGCGAAGGAAAGGGAGGCTGATCGAAACTGAGTGGTGTTATTTTTCTTTTTCTTTTTTTTTTGTTTGTTTTGTTTTTATTCTCATCTTTCCTTAAGTGCGAACACCATCTGGCTCCCCTAACTCCGTCAGCGCTTCCAGTCCCCAGGCAGCTTCACTCTTCCTAATTACTGTCATTAGGCAGTGGGTAGCGATTAGGGAAGGATGCTGACGAGTGGCATCAGGAAGTCCATGGTCCCCCGATAGCTTGGCACAGGAGTTGGGCGGCATCTTCTTCCCAGCCCGGGGCCTTTTCCAACTGGGGAACTTGGCAGATACTGCCTTAGTTTCTTTCCTGGAAGAGGCTGACAGGGAGAGAATGGGGAAGGGAGATGCTCGCTGGCAAGTCTGAGTCTAGAGGAGTCCCCGGTGAAGCCCGACACCACTGGGGATGGGCTATTCTGGAGAGTGGAGAGATGGTCAAGGTGCTCAGTCCTGCTGGAGCTCTACCTGTTGTTGTCCCACTTCTCCGTGCATGCTCTGCCGACGGGTGTCCAGCCACCCAAAGCTGTTTCTCCTGATTAGCCCAGAGGCTGTGGTAATGGGCCCCACACCCAGATCCACCAACAGCCATTTCTTCCACGCAGTCCAAAGGCCATAGTGATGGGCTGCATGGCCAGATGGAACCAAACCCACCTGCTGCCTTTCTTTCTGGCCTAAGTGAGGCTGGCCACTGCCTTGGTCCTCCCTGGCTCCCCTTGCTGCGTGTGGGCATTCACGCTCCCATGCAGCTCCCCTGTGGCACTGCAGCTGTGCAGGCCAGCGCGCAGTGTCAGTGCCACCTCGTGGCAGGCGTCCCAGGGCCTCTCATCGTCACCCACGGGTACCAAACCCACCTGCTGCCTTTCTTTCTGGCCTAAGTGAGGCTGGCCACTGCCTTGGTCCTCCCTGGCTCCCCTTGCTGCGTGTGGGCATTCACGCTCCCATGCAGCTCCCCTGTGGCACTGCAGCTGTGCAGGCCAGCGCGCAGTGTCAGTGCCACCTCGTGGCAGGCGTCCCAGGGCCTCTCATCGTCACCCACGGGTGTTCCCCATGGCTCATTAGGGTTCCCGGGTGTCCCTCAGCAGTGGCTGGCGGTGGGAAGCAGGTGATGGCGAAGGGTCCTGTGGGTTGGGATGAGGTCTCTGCCCTCACAGAACCCTTAGTCTTCTTGCAGCAAGTATGGGGATTGGAGGCTGCACCTAGATATGGGCAGTCCCTGCTGGATGTTGCCCATGGCATTACTGCTTTGTGCATAAAATGTTGCCCACCTTACCCTTCCTGCCCTGCTTGCTGTTGAGGTCCAGCCCCCACAGGAAGCCTATGGAAGGGCAAGATGGGTCTGTGGAGCTGTTGGAGTAGTTAGGGCCCATGAGTGAACTATCAGGAGATTAAACTGGTGGGTAAACTAACAACGGGGGAGAGAGGGGAAAGTGAGGGGCAAAGGGCCCGGGCAAGGAGGCTCATGGAAGAAAGCCGAGCCCTGTGGAGGCTGGGGAGCCTGTGGGATCGAGGAGGGTTTGGCAAATGTGACTGGTGGCTGCAGAAGAAGACCTTCAGCCAAGGTACCCTCAGCGCCTGCCCTCACCAGGCCACCATGCTCTCTTGGCCAGCTGGCTCCTGCCTTTAGGACTAGGGATGAAAACCAGCCCCCATACCTAGGGACACCAAGGCTCCTGTCCTTTACCACCAGCATCATTGATGTGACTTGCAGGTGCTTGAATACACCTGTGACTTCCATCACAGGCAGGTTGGTGGGTTTGAAATGGCTGTGGGTATGTCTGAGGTGGTTTTGTGGCAAGAAGGCTTTTAGCCCTAGCTCCTTTCTCCTGTCCTGGCACTTCCTCAGACTTTCCCGTTTCTCTCTCTGAAACCCCATGCCCCTGCAGCCAGGTGAAGCCCAGCCTCACCAGCCTTTCTAGGCTGTTGTGTGGGCAACGGGGCGGGCACCGGGCCAGGGAGGAAGCACAGCTCCTGCCTCAGAGAGGGAAGTGAGAAACTGCTGTAGAAAGTCAAAGACGGGCAACACCCCCCACCGAAACGACTTGCCCCACTCCTCATCCTGTCAGCCAGTTCCCGGGGTGGCCATAAGGGACACGGAGGTGGTCAAGCTCAGCTGGTTCCTGGCCATGCAGGTGGAAGTGCGCAGGGAACATGCCAGTGAAGCTGGAGCAGAGAGAACCTCTCCAGCTCAGAGAACCTCTCCTGATGTACCTCCAGGACCACTGGTCCGGAGACCCCTCAAGCCAGATGAATGCAGACCCCATACAGACCCTTGAGCATGCATTCGCAATGGATTCACTTTATTCTTTAATTTTTACAGCCATGTTTTCATCTTTATTCCTTCTACTCTGTCCTTCTGCAGACAAGATGGACAGCCTCCTGCCCTTTACCTAAGGATGAAGAAGCACAAATGGAGCAGGTTGCAAATTCCTCCCCAGCCCAGGCAGTCCAGGCAGGAGGGGATCACTGCCCCACCCGGGCTGACAGTCAGGCAGGATGCAGGGAAGATGTCCCACACACCACAACAGAGAGCGGATCTGAGGTGGACTTTCCAGCTGAAGAAGCCAAGGTGGATCAAAATGCCACTTCTGTGAAATGTAGGTGCCAGCGGTGTCCCGAAGACGAGACACCTGCTTGAAGCTTCAGCAGAAATGAGAGTGGAAGCCATTACCTGAGCAGAAAGAGGGTTTTTTCCAACAGGATTTGAACAGGAGTTTCTTTTTTAAATCACCACACTGTTTGGGGTGGGCGGGAAGCGGGAGATGCTTCTGACAGTCCTGCTCCACTTCTGTCTCGCCCCCATCTTCCATGAAGCCGGTCGCTCTGCCTCTCATAAACAGTCCTTCTTCCAGCATCAAAACATCCCCTGGCCAGGCTTCAGCTCCTTTCCCCACTCCAGATGCACAAAGGTTGCTCTAAGTCACTTCACAAGTCTGAGTGCAAATCATAGGCATAAGAGATGCCTGATTCATGCCACAAGGATACCCCTGCTGTGACATGAAGCATGGCTGCTGTGGAAAACCAGGACCCCAGTGCTGGGGCCTTCAAAGCTCCTGCTGGAGAGCCACGGACACCTGGAGCCACAGGAGACAGTCACTGGGCATGCGGACCAGCTCCTCCACCATCCTCAGCACGGAGGCTGAGACAGGGACTCATTCCACCCTGGGTCATGAGGAACCGCAGCAGGGTGAAGGAAGGCTCACCTCCACCTGCACATTTAGGTCTGAGAGAGGTGTCATGGTGAGGAATTTGGGCCTTGGCACCTGTGGTTTCCCCTTATGGGACAGATGCCCCAAGTCTGGCTCAAGTGCCATGAGCAAGAGAGAAGAGGGAGAGCCGCCCTTCAACAGCAATGTTAGGTCCTGCAGTCCCAGAATTGAGCTCAGGTTTGTGAAAGGAGTCACCTTTCTGTCATTAGAGGGACATCACCTACACACAGGGCCACCGGGCAACCCTACCCTGAGCTGTGGCCTGTTGGCGCTTGGCAGCAGTGCTCCCACACCCTGATTGGCAACCTCTTCCTAGTCCCTGAAGCCTCCCAGGCGAGGAAGCCACCTCACTGAAGAAAGAGCCGGCCCAGGATGCTGCCGAGATGGCTCTTCATGCAAATAAATCCCCCACAAAGTACTTCCAATTATCCAGCGACCCTCTCTGAGACCCTGCTTTCTCACCCATCCCATTGGCCTGGCTCTGTTCAGCCAGGGGTATCAGCTGCTATAGTTACTTGGGAAGAGCAATCCCACACTAACCAGTTCGTTTCTAAAGCAGAGCCCTTTCTGCACAGTAAAGTCGTCTATGAATGGGTGAACAAGACTATCCACTGAGAAATCCTTTGGACCAGCAATGCTGGCCAGCTCTGGCATGCAGGCAAAGCATTGAAGACACTCACATAAATTAAGTCATCACGCCTACACTCACATCACTCCCTGCCTGGTTTTGCATGGCGTGGAAACATCCATCCCAAGTGACATGTGGTATTTCTGCAGCCATGGTGAGCTGAAGTGACACCTGTCTGGGGCCTTAATGACAAGCTCATGGAGTTCCTCTAGACCAGCAGTCTCTGTTGCCTGCCCCTGGTCCTCCCTGCTTTGACTGATTGCAGGTCAGAGCAAAGACATTTTTTTCCCTGCTCTTCCCTCCCTCGCTCCCTGCTCAGGAAGACAGACTTGTTTTCTGTCGCTGGGGTACCTGGCTGGGGAGGGGATTCCCACGGGTGTTGGTGGACGCCTGCCACCGCATGAGAACATCCAGAAAGAGGAGAGACCTGGATATTACGGCATGCAGAAGACAGGGGAGGGGCAGGACTGTGAATAGAGCAGATGCTGGATGTGCCTTGCTCCATATGGCCCCAAGCCTCCTTTTATTGAGGTCAGTAGCAAAAATTGAGCTAATGGCAGTGGCGTGGGATTTTGTCCTAATGTAACTCCCTGCTTCTCTCTACATCTTCCTTTCCCCTTCCACTTTCTGCTACTCCAGCCCCATGTTCCCAGGCATTGACCATCCCGCAGCAGACCTGTCCTGGCACAATGGCAGTCTCACAAGTGGCACAGCAGCCCTCACCATGCCCTGTCTTTGCTGGCTGCATCTCTGCCTCCTCCTGACAGTGCAGCTGTGGCAGATGTAGGCAATTCGGCATAACTCGACGTGATCTCCTTCGGCTTCCTCCAAGTGCTTAGAGGGATAACTTGGGACTTGGCACAAATGGGAACGTGGAAAAGGGCAGTCATCTTAAAAGGATGATCTTGCTTGAGGCAAAATCCAGTCCTCAGACAGCTCACATCTGTTCAAGGCTTTTCCTGCCCCAGAGACGGGCTCTGGGTGTCCACAGGGAGCAGCTGGAGTGCTCCAGCCCTGTTCAGCCCCCACCCTTAGACTGTCTCCTCTGCGATGCAGTTCTGGGTGGTTTTGGTGGTGACCAGGGCTGTGGCCCCCAGCTCGGTGGCAGGCAGCGGGAAGACATGGTCGCGCTCCTCGTGTCGGGGATACATGGTGGAGAGCAGGACAATGTCACCATCGGTATCGTCCCGGCAGCACGGTCTCCACTTTTCCCCGACTTTCCCAGGTGGCCCTGGCGTCTTCAGGCCTCCATTGAGACGTGGGCATGAGGCCAGAGCCAGGGTGGCATCTCTCTCCAGCATGTCAGGGTCCTGGCAGCCTGGGCTGCGCAGGGGGCTGGTGATGTCTGTGTTTGCTGGGATGGGGCAAGAAAAAGGGGTTATGGGCCTCACAAAGTGGGGCCAGGAGGGTCCCAGGGAAAAGTTCCCATCCCTGGGGACACACGGGAGGAAGATGGACCTGGAGCAGGAGGAGCCTACAAGGTCCTCACCACACCTCTCCTGCTGCTGATCTTCTCCTGCTTCTAACTGATGGGTTCCGCCCTCCAAAATAACCCCAACAAACCAAACAATAGGGAAAGGCAGAAACTTGCACTTGCACTTTGAGCCCTCTCACTAAACCCTGCTGGCAGCAGAGCAGCCCAGCCCTTGGCGGCTTGCCCTCTCCGACCGCCTCCTGCTTCACAATA